TCTGCCTACGGTTTACCGGGCAGTTCTGTTTGTGACGATATATATATATATATATATCGTCAAATAGAACTGCCCGGTAAACCGTAGGCAGAGAGAGAAGAGGACAACAAACATATATAGATATATATATTTTCAATGTTTTTGGCCCATCCGGGCAAGTGACCCCGGGCCACTCTGGTAGCCTAGCATAACAGGGGAAAAAAAAAAAAAATAGCCACCAACAACAACAACCAGGAATGCTATGACACACCCACCGACTCTTTTACCAACCTTCATGTATGGGCAGGAGGCACAGCCTCCTGAAATGGAGCACCCCTCTCCACCTTGCACCCCTGGCACAACACCCAGCTCTCCAAGGACCCCACTTGCAGGCTTTACTGCACCTTTCAGCTGGTCCAGCCCCTGACCTGCAGCAGGCGCTGACAAAGATGGAGACGAAAGATTTCCGCCAGTCGCTTCGGACGATGCAGTTATGGCGTCTGAGGACACGGGAAACACAATCTCCACATCCACCTGTGGTGGTGGTCCCCGCGCACCGGCCGCCTCCATGTTGCTTTTCAAGATCTCGCGCACTTTGCCGACAATTGATGTTATCATGCCCGATTCGGTCCCCAGGACGAATTGAAGGCGCTGATCATGGCCTCGGGCTATGGCCTCTTGGGTCTTATCCGCAATGAAAGACAGGATATTGGACGTCGATCCGACCACCCCCATCTGACGACGCTTGGCTTCCATAGCCAATGCAAACATCTCCCCGGGTACCTCGAAGTGCGCGGTCTGATACGCATCACTATAGCCTGCCTTGACGCGCTTAACCACCTCACTCCCAAATATATCGTGAACAATGCAAGCGCCATCCTGAAAGCAGTTACAAGCAGGACAACAACACGCGTATTCAAAAAGAGACCAGATGCAGAGCACATGAGATAAGTGGCTGGTGCAGAGTGGGCTTGGGATCTTCTATTGGTAGAACAGGGTGTGATCAGTATTGTGATGGGCCAAACCGGCATGTTGCAGAGCGGGGCTTGGTGGGCACTTTCTTTTTTTTTTCCTTTTTTTTTTTTTTTTTTCAACAAACCAGCCACCCTTCTATTCTGGGGGGCATCAGTCCCCGGTTGCTTATCACCCGCAAGCATGTTTCCACCAACATAGAGGAGGAAAGGCAAAGAGTCGGCTTTACCCTTGCCGCCCTCGTCACCTGCCCAATGGGGGGCACTGCTACAATTGTTGGGCTTTTTTTTTTTTTTTTTTTTTTTTTTT